TTGTTCTGTCAGAAGTCTATGTTTTTCGGTAGGGTTTGTATTTATTCAATAAAAAAGGAATATTAGTATAAATTAGTATATATATATATATATATATAGTGAAAGGTTGTATATGTATATATATACATATATATATATATAATGAATGATGTGTATAATGAATGTCGTATATGTGTGTGTGTATATATATATATAAATATATATATAATGAATAATGTATATGCAGCTACAGCCAATGAAGCACGAACATGTGTGTTTGTATCCTATTGATACATGTATATACGCTTATAATTATAATACTTTTATATAATAAAATTTACATCTATACGTACATCTAAGAGGCCTTAAAGATCATTAGTTAATAAATGATTTAGGCCCCCATTCGGCCAGCCACACAAACTTACTTCAGTTTTTGTTTTTGTTCACGCTTTTCATTCCATTTCATTTCTTTCATCATCGAAACAGACGGGTCTACTTCTAGAAACTGTTAGGGTTTAATTTTTTCTCAATGAGAATGAAGCATACCAAACTTTTTTTTTATCCTAGGTTTTACCTGAGTAAATGCGGCTATTATTGTGTTTTCACTAAGTGTTCTACTGTTATTGTGTTAAGAATGATTTGAGTAGGCTGAGATAAAACCATTAATGAAGCAGCTGCCCCCCATTGGCACAGCTGTATGTCTGCGGATTTATAGTGCTAAAAACCGGGTTTCGATACCCGTGGTGGACAGAGCACAGATACCCCATTGTGTGGCTTTGTGCTTAACTTCAAAACAAACAACCAATTAATGAAGCAACTGAGTTGTTAATGTTGGCATTCGCTAAAAAAATAAAATAAGTAACTATAACAACGTTTTAATATGATTAATGTAAATATAATAATTTTTACACACCTGCATTACCTCATAGAAGTGTATTCAGCCAATCGTGTTTGTCCTGTGCCAGTTTTTTTTATAACTATATTTTTCTTCGATTAACAATAAGTAACAAAATGAATGAATTATGCGAATTATTCGAAGGGATTAAGCTATTGTTGATTCTATGATGCACTGCCTGTTAGTCCCTTAAGATCCAATATTCAAATTTGTTTCACTATCAGCGTCAAAATGAACCGTACTGAATAATTGGTTGATACTCGCGCCTTTTATCCAACAAAAATGTGTTGTTTGAAGTAATTGGCTGCTAGACTGCGCGGCGCACACGAACGACGTCCGACTGCACAGTGTCAACGAAAGTACGGTTAATCTTCCTGTACCGGCGAACTTAATCTTTCTGTACCGGCAGGTTACTCTTCTCCTCCGGCCAACTGTTAATGTTTATCAACCTCGCTCTAGAACACTTTTTCAAGTCTTTTCTAGGTTTACTATTTTGCTTCAGAAAGAGATCAAGGTTGCTGGTCAAATCATGTGGTCCTTTATAAAAATAAATAAAAAAGCATACGGTTTGGTTGAGCACCTAAGCTCATGATGGCTGAAATCCCCCCCGTGTCTGCAGGCGAAAGAAGCTGCGGCTGCGTAGTGGAGGAGTTTCTGCGCAACATTGTGTGCCTAACACCCTGAATTTAGCTGAAAGATCTATCGCACTTGGCATGTCCGACTCCCGTTCAATAGCTCGCCTTTGTGGAAAGAATGAATTCTAAAGGAACCTTTGCTGTTGTGCTCATCTTTTGCTGCGAAGCCTTAAATGGTAAGTTAGTAAGTTATTCAACTAAACATTGTATCTGGAAAAAATCCTGCTTTTTCTGTTAATGGGGAAAAACAACAAGAAAATGACAATATTTTCGATTTTGGGCACGAGAAAAATAAACGTGACAATACACACATATGGAAAATATACTGATCGATCCCTATAGATTAACAACAGAAGAATTGGCACTGTTTAGCCTTCAAGTTTTCTAAGCAAATCGCACTTTTTTGAGCAACAGTCACGTTTTTAACTCCGAGAAAATCCAAGAACGTTTCATCGTTTTACTTCTTCAAGTTTCTATTACTGAAATAAATGGTGAGAAGTATCTAAAATAAATTACTTGGGAATGGTGTGCGAGTAGCTATCAAAACGCATGAATTAACAGAATTAGTGTCGTGCATGTAAAAGATCATAATGTGGATTAAAACAACATGCTTGCGCGTTTTCTAAAACAATGCTGTATTAGTATTCTGGATCTAGTATTTGAATAGACATTTCAAAAGAAAATACATTATAACGTAGGTAAATAAAACATAAATTTATCTGTGCGCAAAGATCGTTGTTTTATATATGGAATTAAAACGAGAAATCTTAGAGCAAACTTTGCTTAGTTTCCTAGTAATTCAAGACAACTGAATCTATGAGTGTTCTATAGAACATAAGTTGTAATGTGTTATGATGGTCGTTAGCACGAGATAAAGTTAAAGGGGGACAATAAGATAGAAAGATGATAATATTCTATACGTTTTGAATATACCAGTGTTCTTGAGTTTTTTTAATGAAAGTGTGATAGGATTTGTGAAATAAGAACAAATGATGTGATAGTTATTTCATGGCTGATTAAGCTCAATATCTGAAACAAACATTCATTGGTGTAATTAACAATTTTTATGTGGCGGTAAATCAAAAGAAGTCTTAGTTTGGTAAACGTGATTAATAGCAGATTTTGCGCAGTCATATCCCCGTGCTTACTTAGACTACTGTTTCGTTATTATTATTATTATTCGGATTTTCCTTTTAGCAGGGGTTGCCGTCCTTCACATGTTTTGCCCTCCTCCAATCATCTGTGTTCATCGCCAGGTCTTTTGGAATTCCTTTGTTGTCCATGACTTCTTTAATTCCATCTTTCCAACGCTTTACTGGCTTCCTATGTCTTCTCATGTTGGTTACCGGCAGCTCTAATGTTCTCCTTATTGCTTGTCCTTCTTCTCTTCTCTTCACGTGACCGAGCCACCTCAGCTTCGCTTCTCATGTCTTCTCCTCGATTCCACAGACTCCTGCCATTTCCTTAATTTCTCTTCTCTTTCATATAACCATCTTAGCATTCTCAGCTCTGTTCTTATCACCAAGCCTTCTTCTTTCTTCTTACTATTGTTCCCTTATGATTTAATTAAAAAATATTCTTTGGGTGAAACTGAATGTTAAAACAAAGTTGAAAACTTGTGAACACAATTTGCTCTAATGACATATAAGCGTGCGTTTGGCGGACAGAAAGAAGTAAAAGTGCAAGAGAAACATTAATTACACTGCCTTAACATGATAAGGTCTATCTCAAATAACAAGCAAAAACATTGGCAAGGGAGAAAACATCATTTTTGGTCCTAAAACGGAGAGAGTAGCAAGAGATCACTACTGAAGAAGAACCAATCACCAACAAGGATCGCTGTCAAACAAATCAGCCTAAATCAACTAAAGAGGAAACATTATATATATATATATAACTTATACGTGATAGTGCGTTTATTTTCCATGAACAATCCTTTAATTATTCAGCACATTACAGTTTCTTTGGGTTGCTGGATAGAAAGTTAATCCTAGGGCATGGTGAGTCTAAAATCCTGCTAATGTTCATTTTCTTTATTTCCAAACTGAGGCGAATTGATTTGATTTGTATATTGAAAGTTGAAATGCTTTTGATAAACGATGCAGCCTTGTCGCCGTATGGGTATTCTATCTACAGAGTCCTGTGTATCACTGTTTCTTCTGGGGGGTTTTGGGGGGAGAGGGGGGCAAAAGGCCTAGGAAGTTTTTTGTTTATTTCCTTTACTTTTACTTTGTCCTTGTGACATGCTTCAGCAAAAAATAGTGACATATTGGAATAAATACTACTATAATACTATTATTAAGTCTAATATGCAATTGCTATAAGATCTATCTCCCATTTTTCAGTTGTTATATTACAATTAGATATAATATGTAACTGCTATAAAACATAACGTTCGCGTATACATGCTTAACTTTATGAAAAACCTCTATAAGGTTTAGCATGTACACCGGAACAACTTGTTTTTTCAGTGATACTAAATGGTCGCTGATCTATCCATTGTTTTATTAGCGAAAAGCACAATTAAAAAACACTTCAGTTATTTGACCCAAACATCCATACAAAAGTTAAACACGTGCGTTCTTTGTTGTTCTTGCTTTTATTTTCGCAGTAATTTGGACGTATAAAAGTTTTTTCTTAAATTTTTGTTCGTTTTAACGTCTCTACTTTACAGACACCATTACATATATTTCATAAAACGTTTCGAAGGCATAGCTTGTTCTGCCTTAATATTATATTCAAAACATTAGCTGCAAGATATGGCCCCCAGTGACACAGCGGTAAGTCTGCGGATTTACAACGCTAAAATCCGGGTTTCGATACTTGTGGTGGGCATAGCACAAGTAGCCCATTGTGTTGCTTTGTGTTTAACTTCAAACAAACAATAGCATGATATGTGTTTAAAGAAAGGGAACATTTGTTATGACAGACACTTAATATCCAAAGATGCTTTACATCGAACATTTAAACATTAAAGTTACGAATGATGTCATATACTTTTTTACTTAATATTTGTTTTAATATGAGTTTACAATAATGTGCCTATTTTACTTAAAAGCTGTTTTAATCCCTAAACTAAATCATTGAGTATATGATCTTCTGGTATATCATAGAACTATCTATTCTGTAATTATAACCTTTTGTTTCTAAATGCCCCCCAGTGGCACAGCGGCATGTCTGCGAACTTCCAAAGCAAGAAACCGGGTTTTGATACCCGTGTTAGACAGAGCACAGATAGCCCATTGTGCAGCTTTGCGTTTAACAACAAGAAACAAACTTCTAAAAAGCTGAATGGGATTATCAAAAGTTAACGTCTGCTTTTATTGGATGATTTATATTTTTGCACTAGATCCCTAAATGATGAAGATGAGGAATGTACTGTAGAAAAATCAGAGGAATGAATCATTTGAGGGACAATTTTTGTAAGCAACAACAACAAAAAATTCGTTTTTCGAGTCCAAGTTGAGTTTGTTGCATTGATTAACCTTACCTTTCATCCTAGAATATAGGCTTTAAATGAGCTTTACACACTTTTAACTATCGAAATATAACCGAACGAAACGTAGGAAGAATTGAAAGGCATAATAACTACTTTAACTTAAGTCAAATGACCTAAATGTTTGAATTTATCTAAGACATTCCCAAGATTGATTATCAGCAACGTTATACGGGGCTTACTCGCAAAGCCTCGGCTATAATAACATGCGTATAAGGTCAATACTTATTAAATGTAAGTTAAACATAAAAAAATACTTCTCTTAAAAAACATAGTTAGAATCTTGGTCTGGGGTAAAAACAAAATAGTTACAAGAATGGATTAAACAATTTTTCTCAACTGAGGGTTACTTTAAAAACGCTACTAGATCTTTTACCCCTGTTTTCAAGTTTGAGAGCATTTTAAGTTTACTATGATTTAATCCCCACAACGGTTAAAAAGCATGTAAGTGTTAGCTTCATTTTACGAAGAACCAACTATGTTGTCAAATTCCCAAGTCGTACTTGTCGGGTAACTCTGATGTTTGTACTTTTTTAAGGAATTTTTCATATAATAAAACAGTAGCTGTAACTAAATTTACATTTTAAAAACACAGACCTACCTTACCTAGGAGTTAAATTATTTTTCGAGTTCCCAATAACATTGTAGTTAAGCATTTGTAATATTTGAATAAGTGCTTTCTTGAAAACATCTTTTATGATAACATGGAAACACGTGCATTTTTATGGGGAAAAATTCTGAGAATGATAACGAAAGTATCTAAACACGTGATTCTTAAGAAGAAACACCTCAACATGTGCTCATAAAAGGTGGTTTCATTGGAACTTTTAACCATGCGCTTCTAATAAAATCTCTAACAATTAACAGTTATATTTTACTTTAGCGTCTATACACGTGCTTTTGTGAGAATATTTAAACACTTTCTTTCATGAAAATAGTAAACACTGATCTTGCTTTCATGGGAATACCTAAACGTTTTCATGACTAAACAATATTCTTGGTTTCAAGTAGATATCTAAACACTCACTTTTATGAAAATAGCTGAACACTGATCTTGCTTTCATAACATAACATAATATTTTAGGACAACATGGGACCTATTGGTCCATCTCGGCTGTTCCATCCTCAAAATTAAATTAAGATGATTAAAAAAAAATTTTAAACCCAGCCCTTTTTATTCATATACTTATCAAGCTTTTTCTTAAACTCACTTACATTTACTGCTTCTACAACATCTGAAGGCAGCCATTTCAAAGGCCAACCATCCTGTTAGAAAAATAAAACTGTCTTAACTGAAGATGACCCCTACCTTGCCAAAATTTATATTTGTGTCCCCTTGTCCTATTATTCTCATTGTTGAATACAAAAATATGATACATCAACACTATAAATTCCCTTTACAATCTTAAACACCTCAATCAGATCCCCCTTAACTCTTCTTTTTTCAAGATAAAACAATTTGAGACATTTCAGCCTCTCGTCGTATGACAAGATAGTTACTTATCAAACTGAGTCATTCAACTAATGTGTCATACGCACTTTCTTTTTGGAACCAGTCCTGTAAAGTGGAATATATTATTTAGAAATAGACAGTATTTTTTCCCACTGGTAGGCTCGTTGATACCTTAAGATTATGATCTCCCTTATGTTGTAATGGGAATGACCAACACTCACGTGGGT